GTTGTTGAATGCTTTTCCCTACGCCTATAGGGATTTACGCGCTTTCTAGGCACTTGGCGGAAAAAACGACCGAAATCGTAGGCGCTGAACTTTTCTTCGCGCAAGAACCAAGATTAAAAGGCTCTGGTATGTGTATTTGAACATGGGCCACTTGAATATGCAATAAAATTCAGGTTGTTGAATGCTTTTCCCTACGTCTATAGGGATTCACGCGCTTTCTAGGCACTTGACGGCAAAACAGCCAAAATCGTAGGCGCCGACCTTTTCTTCGCACGAGAACCAAGCCCAAAAAGCTCTAGTATGTGTATTTGAGCATGGGCCACTCGAATATGCATTAAAATTCAGGTTGTTGAATGATTTTCCCTACGCCTATAGGGATTCACGCGCTTTCTAGGCAGTTGGCGGCAAAAACGGCCGAAATCGTAGGCGTTGAATTTTTCGCACAAGAACCAAGCCAAAAAGGCTCTATTATGTGTATTTGAACATGTGGCAGTCGAATATGCATTAACAATAAAGTTCGGGTTGTTGAATGCTTTTCCCTACGCCTATAGGGCATCGTGACCAGAGCATCGTGACCAGAGCATCGTGACCAGAGCATCGTGACCAGAGCATCGTGACCAGAGCATCGTGACCAGAGCATCGTGACCAGAGCATCGTGACCAGAGCATCGTGACCAGAGCATCGTGACCAGAGCATCGTGACCGGACCATCGTGACCGGAGCATCGTGACCTGAGCATCGTGACCTGAGCATCGTGACCTGAGCATCGTGACCAGAGCATCGTGACCAGAGCATCGTGACCAGAGCATCGTGAGCAGAGCATCGTGACCAGAGCATCGTGACCAGAGCATCGTGACCAGAGCATTGTGAGCAGAGCATCATGACCAGAGCATCGTGAGCAGAGCATCGTGAGCAGAGCATCGTGAGCAGAGCATCGTGAGCAGAGCATCGTGACCAGAGCATCGTGACCAGAGCATCGTGACCAGAGCATCGTGACCAGAGCATCGTGACCAGAGCATCGTGACCAGAGCAACGTTACCAGAGCATCGTGACCAGAGCATCGTGACCAGAGCATCGTGACCAGAGCATCGTGACCAGAGCATCGTGACCAGAGCATCGTGACCAGAGCATCGTGACCAGAGCATCGTGACCAGAGCATCGTGACCAGAGCATCGTGACCAGAGCATCGTGACCAGAGCATCGTGACCAGAGCATCGTGACCAGAGCATCGTGACCAGAGCATCGTGACCAGAGCATCGTGACCAGAGCATCGTGACCCCCTATAGGCGTAGGGAAAAGCATTCAACAACCTGTATTTTATTGCATATTCGAGTGGCCCATGTTCAAATACACATACTAGAGCCCTTTCGGCTTGGTTCTTGCGCGAAGAAAAGTTCGGCGCCTACGATTTCGGCCGTTTTTTCCGCTGCTCTACCACACTGCCTCTTGATGCTCCACAGTTGAGCTTTGAGGTATGGATGAGTTGTGCGGAACAGCTAGGGGTGCGATGTAGCTGTTGTACTTCCGTCAGACTCGATTGTGTGTAGCTGCTGTTGTGGCTGATTGACAGTTATCGGTGTTTCTGGAGCGAGCGCTTAGAGCCTCTTGTTATTCCGAAGCTGCTTGCACTGTGGTACACATTGCACCACTCTTGTGATGCGCAACTCTTGTGGCTGGACCAGGTAGCCAGTGTTGCAATGCTTCTGTGCTGCTTGTACATGTTGGGCTGAGAAATAGCCCTTAGGATCTCTGCAGGAGTGAATTCTTGGTAGGAACAATGTAATAGCGGAAGCGTTTCAATAAAGGAGTTGAACCACCTTGCGCTAGTATGTGAGGGCAAAGTGAATTGATTAAAGCAAAGAGATACAAGATTATATAAGAGTACAAGGAATATGAAGAGATACAGGTATATCTACTTTACTGTTGCTGTTGCGGTTCGACACAGTGACGACTCGGGCAACTGCTCTGTAACAAGTCAGTTGTGTGCCCTTGCTGTCGCGCTGTACTTGTCAGGTCAAAGGTCGCTGACCTTTGACTTTCGCGTAACCTCCAACAACTGCTCAACCTCCGAGGGTTGACTCGTCGGTGCTTCGATATGTTTCGCTTCGCTTCTGACTTGGTGTTTCGACACGACAGAGGCGCTTAGAATTAATTGTTTCCAACACTCCCCTTCGCTTCTGGAGTGTCGCTGCTGGTGACGTGGCTCTGTCCAGTCAGCAGCATGCAGTACTCGAACTTCTGCTTTCCGAGCTTCTTGGTCAAATAGTCAGCTGCCATCTCGGACGTGGGACAGTATGACAGCTCGAGTCTCCCCTTCTCGATTTCGTCCTTCACGAAGAAGTATCGCAGGGCGATGTGTTTCGTCCTGTTCGCGAAGCCGTTCTTGTTGGCGATGCGAATTGCCGACTGGTTGTCGCAGAACAGGGTGAAGCTGGGTAACTGAGCTAGCTTCGCTTCTTCCAGCAGTTCGCGAAGGTAAAGTCCTTCCTTGGTGGCTGAGCAGAGTGCGATATATTCTGCTTCAGCCGAAGAAAGGGCGATTAATTCTTGCTTGCTCGATTGCCAGGAGATAGGACCGATAGGCTCGAAGCGATAGATGTAGCCGGTGCGCGAGCGCCTGTTGTCGGAGTCGCCGGCGTGATCGGCGTCGACGTAGCCGATTAGTTTATGTGCAGCAGTTCCGTTGTTGTGGTAATTCAGGCCGATCGTCGGGGTGCTGACGAGGTAGTGAAGAGCGCGGTCGAGCTCCGCCAGATGTTCCGCTTCAGGCTTCTAAGGTAGGTGGCGAGCTGGCTTGCAGAGTATGATAGGTCCGGGCGGCAGGTGACAGCTGCGAAGAGGAGGCATCCCAGCTTCCTCTGGTAGTCGCGTATGCCGGCGGGCTTGAGTAGAGCAGAGCCTCCCTTGTTATTTCCTGTCGTGTAGCGGTATGGCATGGAGATGGCGGTCGGTGTGAGAGCGAAGCGTTTGGCGATGGTGTCGGCGTACTTCGCGGCGCTGAGGTAGATCGCGTCTTCCTCTTCCCGGATGTTGAGGCCGAGGTACTGTGTGACGGTAGATGAGACCGTGAGCGTGAGGTCTTGCTGCAGCTCCCCTTCGAACCAGGTTGTGACACCGTCGGTCGAGCCGATGTAGAGCAGATCGTCTACATAGACGATTAGCAGGATGTAGTCGGTGTTCTTCGTGAGCCGGTACATGCCCTGATCGCACGGTAGTTGCTTGAAGCCGATGCGAGTGAGGTATTGTTGCCATAGCCGCGGAGCCTGCTTAATCCCGTAGGGCGAATTGAGTAGCCGGCAGACGTGGTTGGAGTCCGTGCTGGAGCCGTGTGGTAGCTCCACGAAAATCTCTGCGTCAACAGGTGCGTAGAGGAATGCGTTGGCGACGTCAATTTGCCGCAGCTTCTTCTTCTTCATGGCGGCGATTGCGAGGAGGATTCGTAGCGAAGTGTGTCGGCTGACCGGAGCGAATGTTTCGGTGAAGTCGCATCCATGCTCTTGGTCGAAGCCGCGTACGACCCAGCGCGCTTTAAACTTGTCGATGGTGCCGTCAGCCTTCGTCTTCACGCGGAAGACCCACTTTCCGGTGAGAATCGTGCTACGCCGATGGGAACAACCTTCCACGTGTTGCGTTCCTCCAGTGCCTTCAGCTCCATGTCCATGGCTTTGCGCCATTACTCCCTATGTGACCCCCCCAGAGCCTGCTGAACTGTCGCAGGCTCCTTAGGAATCGCCGCGCCGTGGACTGCAGTGACGAGCCCAAGTATCTGGAGTCCACTCTGTGTGTAGCGGGGGAGTGTTGTGTCCTCGGGATAAACTGCTTCGTCTCCCGCTTCTGGATCAGGTATGAAATTGGGTCCTACGCGTTCTGCTTCGTTGGTGTTGACTTGCTCAGGTGTAACGTAACCGTCGTCGGCGAACTTGTAGAAGACTTCGGCGTTGATGCTTTCGCGAAGGTTGTGATCGTCCATCGGTACGTCTACCCAGCAGTATGGGAGTGATCCGGCTTCTTCCGGGGCTCTGTCCACATTCTGCTCGTCCCAGTCAGCTTCGTCGGCTGCCGAAGCGAAGGCTCGGTCTCCACGAAAACCATTGCTCTGGTCGGGGTTTCCTTCTTGAAAGTTGGCGAGGTAGTATCGCATGGTGAGTTCTTCGTAGAAGATGACTGTCAAACATTATATATGTTGGGTTTGTTAGGCTACAGTGGGTTAGCCTATATGGGGTACACAATTCTAGGGTTTGCTATTTTGTACTGATTTCTCTGTTAGTTCAACCATTCCAGTCCGTTCATTCTGACATGGTTTCAGAGCAGGTCCTTCGCTAGGACCGTTCTTAGGGCCCACCGCTACCTACCTACCTACCTACCTACCTGCGCCTTAGAGCGCCTCGGTTCTTACGGCCCCTTAAGGCCTCGCGCCCTCGTGCGCCTTTCCCCACCGCGCGCGCGACCCGCTAGCTACCCGCGCGCGGGTCCTTTTTTTTTTAGCGCGCGCGGCTCTGTTTCTTGCGCGCGCGGCCCGCTAGTTGCGCGCGTGGCCCGCTAGTCGCCCGCACGCGGCCCGTCAGCCCTTCGCGCGGCCCCTGCTGCTCGCGCGCGCCCCGCCGTGGCCCCGCAGGCCCGCAGCTCGCTGCCGCAGCTGCCGCCCGCCCGTCACCCGCTGCCGCCCGTACGCTACCACTCGTTTGCCGCTGCTGCCGGCCCCGTTGACACTGCCCACAGTCTCCCAGCGGCCTCGTTCCTACTGTTTACCTTATACCTACTACTACTGTCACTATGGCTAGTCCGCCAGTTCTAGCTTTCGATGCCGAGGGCCGTCCAGTGAAGTTCGAAACCTGGCTAGATGACCTCTACACCGCTGTAGTTGCCCGCTACTCCTCACCCGCTTCTGCCACGCTAGGCCGCCTCACTCTCCCCTACCTGTTCCCCGACCTAGCCTCCTTTCACACTGTCGCAGACCTCATCACCCACCTTAAGACTAGTGAGGCCCGCTTTCGCGCTGCTATGCCTGCCGAGTTTCTCACTAGCAACCCCCCCCCGCTCTGGATCACTCTCTACCACATCGTCACCCGCCTCCCTGACTCTCTGTGCGCAGTCAGGGACCACTTCCTCTCTCGCTCCCCCACTGAGCTCACTGTTGCCCTCCTCGAGAAGGAACTGCTTGCAGCTGAGGCGAGCATCGTCGCTGTAGGCACCTCTCGTGGCGACCCCCGCACCCCGTTCTTTGAGGGGTGTTCCCCTTCCCCCCTCCTCCCCTCTGTCGCCTCTGCTGCTGCTGTCGACCTTCTTGGTGCTGAGAAGGTCGGGACCGCGTCTGCTTCGAGCGGGCGCCGCAGGAACAAGGGGGGCAGGGGTGGGGGTGGTGGCGGAGGAGGTGGGGGTGGAGGCGGTGGGAGTGGAGGCGCGGCTGGGGAGACTGGTGGCGGCAGTGGGGGAGGAGACAGCAGCGGCGGGAGTGGTGGTGGAGGCGGCAGCGGAGGCGGAGGTGGTCGTGGCGGCGGCAGGGGTGGAGGTGGCCGGGGCGGCGGCAGTTGGGGTGGTGGTCGTGGAGGCACTGGCGGAGGGCAGAGTCAGCAGCCCGCCCCAACACTTCAGGCCGCCCGTGAGTGGTATGCGCAGCGTAGCGTTACCTGCACGTACGTCATTCGCACAGGTGACCGCAGCGGCCAGCAGTGTGGGAGGCCGCACCCCACGCAGCGCTGTTTCGCGCGCCTTAACGACGCGTGGCGCACTCAGTTTCCTGCTGCCACTGAGCTGCCGCGCTGGGCTGATCTGGAAAAGAGGGGTGTTGATATTTGGGCTTTAGACTTTGATGCTATTCTCACTGCCATGTATGCGATGTCTATTAGTGGAGAGGGTGCTCAGTACTTGCGTGTTCCGCCCGACCCGGGCATTCAGGCCAGTCTGGCTGCCGCTCTAGGTGCTAGTGCGTCTGCTCCCACAGGTCCTGGTGAGGCCGCTGCCCTAGGTGCTCGTGCGTCCGTGCCCCCTGGTACTGAGTCGACTGCAGCACTGCACACCTTCACACTGGACTCAGGTGCTTCTCGCTCCTTCTTTCGTGACCGCACTGTCCTTGAGCCACTCGCTCGGCCAGTTGCTGTCTCCCTTGCTGACCCCTCTGGGGGTCCGGTCATTGCGACCTCCTCCACTGTCCTTCCTTGTCCGGCGGTCCCGTCCGGCACGCTGTCAGGTCTCTACCTCCCCTCGTTCTCTACGAACCTGGTGGCAGGTAGTGCGCTCCAGGACGGAGGTGTTCACCAGTTCACCCCTGCCTACGAGCGCGTGACACACTGCACGTGTGCTCGGACGGGTCGCCACCTGGCTACCTTCACTCGGGAGCCGGGGTCGGACCTTTACACACTGACCACTGAGTCCCCTCAGGTAGCTGCGTCTGCGTCTGCGTCTGCATCAGGTCAGCTGTCCGCCCCCTGCTCGTGTCGCTCTCTGACGCATGAGACTGTCCTTTGGCACCACCGCCTTGGCCACCCGTCTGTGCAGCGCCTTCGGGCCATGCACAAGCGGGACCTTGTTGCTGGTCTTCCCAGGGTGCTCCCTCCCCTTCCCGACTCGCCTGCTCCTCCCTGTATTCCCTGTGTCGAGGGACGGCAGCGCGCCGCTCCTCACTCCTCCTCCTTTCCCCCGACGACTGCTCCCTTGCAGACGCTCCACATGGACGTGTGGGGCCCAGCCCGCGTCCGTGGTCAGGGTCAGGAGAGGTACTTCCTGATTGTTGTTGACGACTTCTCGCGCTACACCACGGTCTTCCCCTTGCGCGCCAAGGGTGACGTCCCTGATGTCTTGATCCCTTGGATCCGCAGATCTCGTCTCCAGCTCCGTGAGCGTTTCCGCTCCGACTTCCCTGTCCTGCGTCTGCACTCTGACAGAGGTGGGGAGTTCTCCTCTGGCCTATTGGAGGCCTTCTGTCAGCAGGAGGGCATTGAGCAGTCGTACACGCTTCCGGACTCTCCACAGCAGAATGGGGTTGCTGAGCGCCGCATTGGTCTGGTCATGGAGGTCGCTCGTACCTCCTTGAGCCATGCGGCTGCCCCCCATTTTCTGTGGCCGTTTGCAGTCCGATACGCTGCGCATCAGCTCAACCTCTGGCCCCGTGTCTCCTTGCCCGAGACTTCTCCGACACTGCGTTGGACGGGAGAGGCTGGCGATGCGTCGCGTTTTCGGGTCTGGGGATCCCGAGCTTTTGTCCGCGACACGTCCGCGGACAAGCTCTCCCGTCGCGCTGTCCCCTGCGTCTTCCTTGGCTTTGTCCCGGACGCCCCTGGTTGGCAGCTCTGCCACCCCACCTCGCGGCGTGTCCTGGCCTCTCAGGACGTCACTTTTGACGAGTCCGTCCCCTACTACCGCCTCTTCCCCTACCGCACTGCCCCGCTCTCCCCCCCCGCCTCTCTTCCTTGCTCCAGGTGCTGAGGTACCAGACCCCCTCCCCCCTCAGGGTGCCGCTCCCTCAGGTGTGTCCCAGGTAGACCCGGGTGAGCCTGTCGAGGTAGCTGTTGACTCTCGTCCTGCTCGGGGTGCTGAGCCTGGGGGTGCTGCGTCTGGGGGTGCTGAGCCTGGGGGTGCTGCGTCTGGGGGTGCTGCGTCTGGGGGTGCTGAGTCTGGGGGTGCGGAGCCTGGGGGTGCTGAGCCAGGAGGTGCGGAGCCTGGAGGTGCGGAGCCTGGAGGTGCTGAGCCTGGGGGTGCTGGGTCTGGGGGTGCTGCGTCTGGGGGTGCTGAGCCTGAGCGTGCTACACCTGGAGGAGCCCTCTCCTCCCAGCAGCTGCAGGAGAGGTACCTCGAGTACTGCCGCCTCCGGAGAGGTGCTGCTGGAGCTCGTCCCGGTACTTCCCCTCCTACCCAGGAGCTCCCCCCCATTCAGCAGATCCGCGAGTGGTACACACGGCGCTGCAGTCTTCGGAGTGGTGCTCCTGGTGCTGCGGACCCTGGGGGTGGCGCTGCTGCTGGTGCTGAGGACCCGGACGTTGGAGCTGCTGCTGGTGCTGCGGACCCGCCTGGTGGAGCTGCTGCTGGTACTGAGGACTCGGACGTTGGAGCTGCTGCTGGAGCTGAGGACCCGGGCGGTGGCGCTGCTGCTGGTACTGAGGACTCGGACGGTGGAGCTGCTGCTGGACCTGAGGACCCGAGCGGTGGCGCTGCTGCTACTGCTGAGGACCCGGGCGTTGGAGCTACTACTGGTGCTGAGGACCCGGCCGGTGGAGCTGCTGCTGGTGCTGTGGACCCGGCCGCTGGAGTCTCCTCTGCTTCTGGAGACGCTGCGCGGCCGCGACCGTACTTCGTACCGCTCCTTCAGCAGGTTCTTGGGCAGGCTCCTCCTCCTTGTCCTCCTCCCTCCGTAGAGTGTCCTCTGCCTGTCCAGTCGCAGTCACAGTTACCGCCTACCTCGCCTCTCCCTGCTCCCTCTCCTTACACTGGTCCCACAGGAGGTCTTACAGAGCGTCGTGAGCCTGAGTCTCGTCCTGCATCGCCTGTTCGTCCTGCTCGCACTGGTAGTCGTGTCCGTCGTGAGCGTCCTCCTCCTGTCCCAGGCACTCACTACATGACTCTGCGTCCCTCTACTGCTCCTCAGCGTGTCCCTCTACCGTCTCCTCCCGCGTCTTCTTTGCCTCACGTTCCGGACCCTGAGTCTGACCGGTACCGTGCTGAGCACCCTACTGTCACGCGTCTCCTCGCTACTGTTGTCACTGACCCTACCTTTGAGTCCTCGACTGCGTCTGCTCTGGTCGCTGAGTTGGTTGACTTTGCTGCTGCCTGTCGTCTAGACTACGCTGCTAGCCTTGTTGCTGAGTCTGAGTCTGAGTCTGTCTGTCCTCCGTCCGTCGGGGGTGAGTGTGCTCTTGGCACGGACGTCCTTGAGGACAGACAGGAGGAGTTCCAGTGTCTTGCTGCTGCTTTGCTCCGTCTCGTGTCCTTGCTAGTTGCCCCTGAGGGAGACCCGGATGCACCAGACATCCCGACCCCACGCACTTACGCTGAGGCGATGGCGGGTCCCTACTCCTCTCAGTGGCAGACGGCCATGGACGCCGAGATGGCTTCCTGGAAGTCCACACGCACCTACGTCGACGAGGTTCCCCCTCCTGGGGCGAACATCGTCAGTGGCATGTGGATTTTCAGGGTGAAGCGGCCGCCGGGTTCTCCGCCTGTCTTCAAGGCGCGTTACGTGGCTCGAGGCTTCAGTCAGCGAGAGGGAGTTGACTTCTTCCAGACCTTCTCCCCCACCCCGAAGATGACCACTCTTCGGGTGCTGCTGCACATAGCCGCTCACCGCGACTACGAGCTTCACTCACTTGACTTCAGCACTGCTTTCTTGCAGGGCAGCCTGCACGAGGAGATCTGGCTGCGCCGCCCACCTGGCTTCACTGGGTCGTTTCCTCCTGGTACCCAGTGGAGGCTTCAGCGGCCGGTCTACGGTCTCCGCCAGGCTCCGCGTGAGTGGCACGACACACTGAGGACTACACTTGCGGCTCTTGGGTTCGCGCCTTCTACAGCTGACCCGTCGCTGTTCCTGCGCACCGACACTTCGCTGCCGCCGTTCTACATCCTCGTGTACGTCGACGACTTGGTCTTTGCCACTGCTGACACTGCAGGACTCGCCTACGTGAAGTCGGAGCTGCAGAGGAGACACACGTGCACAGACCTGGGTGAGCTGACAAGCTATCTTGGCTTGCGGATCACCCGGGACAGAGCACGGCGCACCATCACCTTGACTCAGTCACACATGGTGCAGCAGGTTCTCCAGCGCTTTGGCTTCACGTACTCCTCGCCTCAGTTCACTCCTCTGCCTACCGGTCACTCGCTCTCAGCTCTGCCTTCGGATGAGTCCGTAGAGCCGAGTGGCCCGTATCCAGAGCTTGTGGGCTGCCTCATGTACCTGATGACCTGCACTCGACCTGACCTTGCATACCCTCTTAGCATCCTTGCACGCTATGTCGCTCCTGGCCGTCACAGGAAGGAGCACATGGATGCCGCTAAGAGGGTGTTGCGCTACTTGTGCAGTACGTCGGGCATGGGGCTTGTGCTTGGAGGGCGAGACCGAGTTGTTCTCACAGGGCACTCAGACGCTTCTTGGGCAGACGACCAGGCCACTCAGCGGTCGTCTCAGGGTTACACCTTCAGCCTTGGCTCTGGCTCAGTTTCTTGGCGCTCTACACGCTCTTCCTCTGTTCTCGGCTCCAGTTGCGAGGCTGAGATCTACGCTACAGCCATGGCTGCCCAGGAGCTACGCTGGCTGACCTACCTGCTGACCGACCTCGGAGAGCCGCCTTGTTCTCCTCCAGTACTGTACGTCGACAACAAGGCTGCCATTGCCTTGTGTGAGGAGCACAGACTGGAGCACAGAACGAAGCACATCGCCCTGCGGTACTTCCTTGCTCGTGAGCTGCAGCAGCGCGGTCAGCTTTGTATTCGCTACGTGGCCACTGAGGCCAACACTGCTGATGTGTTCACCAAGGCGCTTCAGCCTCGTGACCATCAGCGCTTCTGCACTCTACTAGGCCTTGTGCCTACTGGACCTCACTTGCTTACCTCTTGACTTTGCTTGTACTGTGATCACTATATATATCTGTACCTGCATGTTTACTCTTGCTAGGTTGTGATCACTGTATCTCTGGCTCTGTTATAAACCTGCATGTGAACTGGTCTTGTGACCACTAGCTTGTGCTCGGAATTTGTGTGGAATCCTCGAGATCCACCCTGAGCTTGTTGTTGCCTTGCTTTGCCTTGACTGGTCTTGTGACCCCTAGGTCTCCCCCACTTTGCCTATGGGGGTGTGTCAAACATTATATATGTTGGGTTTGTTAGGCTACAGTGGGTTAGCCTATATGGGGTACACAATTCTAGGGTTTGCTATTTTGTACTGATTTCTCTGTTAGTTCAACCATTCCAGTCCGTTCATTCTGACAATGACATCACGTGCTGCCACTGTTTCCTTTGTCTCGAGGTCGAAAAATTTCCATGCGCTGTAATGCTTTTCGATGCCCAGGTGTAGTCCCCACTGTGCGCGTTGGGAGAATCGGCCGGCTCGTGCTTATGGGGGTCGGTACTGTACCATGCAGCCGAAGACTCTCAACATTTTTGTGCTGCCCAATTTTCCTGTCCACAGCAGATGCGGTGATGCGTTGTTTGGGAGCGATGATGACGAGAGCAAGTTGTGCAGCATGACGGCGTGGTCCATTGCGTCGGGCCACTGGTGGTTGGGCAGGTGCATGCCACGTAGCAGCTTGCGCATGGTGTTCTGGAGGGTCCTGTTCATCCTTTCTGCTACACCTTGCTGTTGATGGGCATAGGAAGGGAGATGAGCCGCTTGATTCCTCTCTCTGCCAAGTACTGCTTGAACCTCTGTGAGGTGTATTCTCCTCCCCCGTCTGACTGGAAGCTCTTGAGTTTTAATCCTGACTCACTTTCCGCTACAGGAAGCCAGGCGACGAAGGCTTCGAAGGCCATGTCCTTGCTTGGAAGATTGAGGTGCCAAACATAGCGTGTCGCGGCGTCGATGAACGTGATGGTGTAGTTGTAGGTGTTTTGTCCAGGCTCGCGGTTGTCAGGTTGTTGAAAGCTTTTCCCTATGCCTATAGGGATTCACGCGCTTTTTAGGCACTTGGCGGAAAAAACGGCCGAAATCGTAGGCGCCGAACTTTTTTTCGCACAAGAACCAAGCCAAACAGGCTATGGTAAATGTATTTGAACATGGGCCACTCGAATATGCATTGTTGAATGCTTTTCCCTACGCCTATAGGGATTCACGCGCTTTCTAGGCACTTAACGGCACAATCGGCCGAAATCGTAGGCGCCGAACTTTTCTTCGCTCAACAACCAAGCCCAAAAAGCTCTAGTATGTGTATTTGAACATGGGCCACTTGAATATGCAATACAATTCAGGTTGTTGAATGCTTTTCCCTACGCCTATAGGGATTTACGTGCTTTCTAGGCACTTGGCGGCAAAATCGGTCGAAATCGTAGGCGCCGAACTTTTCTTCGCACAAGAACCAAGCCGAAAAGGCTCTGGTATGTGTATTTGAACATGGGCCACTTGAATATGCAATAAAATTCAGGTTCTTGAATGCTTTTCCCTACGCCTATAGGGATTTGTGCGCTTTCTACGCACTTGGCGGCAAAAACTGCCGAAATCGTAGGCGCCGAACTTTTCTTCGCACAAGAACCAAGCTGAAAAGGCTCTAGTATGTGTATTTGAACATGGTCCATTCGAATATGCAATAAGAATCAGGTTGTTGAATGCTTTTCCCTACGCCTATAGGGATTCACGCGCTTTCTAGGCACTTGGCGGAAAAAACGGCCGAAATCGTAGGCGCCGAACTTTTCTTCGCACAAGAACCAAGCCGAAAAGGCTCTGGTATGTGTATTTGAATATGGGCCACTCGAAAAAGCAATAAAATTCAGGTTGTTGAATGCTTTTCCCTACGCCTATAGGGATTCACGCGCTTTCTAGGCACTTGGCGGCAAAAACGACCGAAATCGTAGGCGCTGGACTTTTCCTCGCACAAGAACCAAGCTTAAAAGGCTCTGGTATGTGTATTTGAACATGGGCCACTTGAATATGCAATAAAATTCAGGTTGTTGAATGCTTTTCCCTACGTCTATAGGGATTCACGCGCTTTCTAGGCACTTGGCAGCAAAAACGGCCGAAATCGTAGGCGCCGAACTTTTCTTCGCGTAAGAACCAAGCCGAAAAGGCTCTAGTATGTGTATTTGAACATGGGCCACTTGAATATGCAATGTAATTCAGGTTGTTGAATGCATTTCCCTACGCCTATAGGGATTCATGCGCTTTCTAGGCACTTGGCGGCAGAAACGGCCGAAATCGAAGGCGTCGAACTTTTCTTCTTGCAAGAACCAAGCCGAAAAGGCACTAGTATGTGTATTTGAACATGGGCCACCCGAATATGCAAAAGAATTCAGGTTGTTGAATGCTTTCCCCTACGCCTATAGGGATTCACGCGATTTCTAGGCAGTTGGCGGCAAAAACGGCCGAAATCGTAGGCGCCGAACTTTTCTTCGCACAAGAACCAAGCCCAAAAAGCTCTAGTATGTGTATTTGAACATGGACCACTCGAATATGCATTAAAATTCAGGTTGTTGAATGCTTTTCCCTACGCATATAGGGATTCACGCGCTTTCTAGGCAGTTGGCGGCAAAAACGGCCGAAATCGTAGGCGTTGAATTTTTCGCACAAGAACTAAGCCAAAAAGGATCTATTATGTGTATTTGAACATGGGTCAGTCGAATATGCATTAACAATAAAATTCGGGTTGTTGAATGCTTTTCCCTACGCCTATAGGGCATTGGGACCAGAGCATCATGACCAGAGCATCGTGACCAGAGCATCGTGACCAGAGCATCGTGACCAGAGCATCGTGACCAGAGCATCGTGACCAGAGCATCGTGACCAGAGCATCGTGACCAGAGCATCGTGACCAGAGCATCGTGACCAGAGCATCGTGACCAGAGCATCGTGACCAGAGCATCGTGACCAGAGCATCGTGACCAGAGCATCATGATCAGAGCATCGTGACCAGAGCATCGTGACCAGAGCATCGTGACCAGAGCATCGTGACCAGAGCATCGTGACCCCCTATAGGCGTAGGGAAAAGCATTCAACAACCTGTATTTTATTGCATATTCGAGTGGCCCATGTTCAAATACACATACTAGAGCCCTTTCGGCTTGGTTAATGCACGAAGAAAAGTTCGGCGCCTACGATTTCGGCCGTTTTTTTCCGCCAAGTGCCTAGAAAGCGCGTGAATCCCTATAGGCGTAGGGAAAAGCATTCAACAATCTGTTTTTTATTGCATATTCGAGTGGCCCATGTTCAGATACACATACTTGAGTTTTTTTTGCTTGGTTCTTGCGCGAAGAAAAGTTCGGCGCCTACGATTTTGGCCGTTTTTTCCACCAAGCACCAAGAAAGCGCGTGAATCCCTATAGGCGTAGAGAAAAGCATTCAACAACCTGAACTTTATTGCATATTCGAGTGGCTCATGTTCAAATACACATACTAGAGCCTTTTCGGCTTGGTTCGTGCGCGAAGAAAAGTTCGGCGCCTACGATTTCGGCCGTTTTTTCCGCCAAGTGCCTAGAAAGCGCGTGAATCCCCTTAGGCGTAGGGAAATGCATTCAACAACCTGTTTTTTATTGCATATGCGAGTGGCCCATGTTCAAATACACATACTAAAGCCTTTTCGGCTTGGTTCTTGCGCGAAGAAAAGTTCGGCGCCTACGATTTCGGCCGTTTTTTGTGCCAAGTGTAGAAAGCGAATGAATCCCTATAGGCGTAGGGGAAAGCATTCAAAAACCTATATTTTATGGAATTTTCGAATGGCCCATGTTCAAATACACATACTAGAGCCTTTTCGGCTTGGTTCTTGTGCGAAGAAAAGTTCGGCGCCTACGATTTCGGCCGTTTTTGCCGCCAAGTGCCAAGAAATCGCGTGAATCCCTATAGGCGTAGGGAAAAGCATTCAACAACCTAAATTTTATTGCATATTCGAGTGGCCCATGTTCAAATACACATACTAGAGCCCTTTCGGCTTGGTTCTTGCGCGAAGAAAAGTTCGGCGCCTACGATTTCGGCCGTTTTTGCCGCCAAGTGCCTAGAAAGTGCGTGAATCCCTATAGGCGTAGGGAAAAGCATTCAACAACATGTTTTTCTATTGTATATTCGAGTGGCCCATGTTCAAATACACATACTAGAGCTTTTTTTGCTTGGTTCTTGCGCGAAGAATGTCAAACATTGTATGTATATATTGTGTAGGCTGTAGTGGGTTACACCTTAGGGGGTACACAAAGTTAGGGTTTCCTACTTGTACCAAACTCTGAGCTAGTTCATTCATTCCTCGTTCAGTTATTCTGACATTGTTTCAGAGCAGGTCCTTCGCTAGGACCTAAGTTTTTTTTTCGGGCCCACCTCTACTACCTACCTACCTACTGTCGGAGTGCTGCGTTAGCGCCTCCCCCTCCGCGCCTTCGTGCGCCCTCGTGTACGGCCCCTTAAGGCCCCGTCGACCCCGCACGCTGCCCCTTAGTGGCCCCGTCGCACCCGCGCGCGCCCCGATTGCGTCCCCGCGGCCCCGTCGACCCACCCGCGCGCACCTCGTTTAGCGGCCCCGCGGCCCCGTCGCCCCGTCGACCCTCACCTAGCGGCCCCGCGGCCCCGTCGACCCACCCGCGCGCACCTCGTTTAGCGGCCCCGCGGCCCCGTCACCCCGTCGACCCTCGCCTTGAGGCCCCGCGGCCCCGTCGACCCACCCTTGACGCCCCGCGTGCACCTCGTTTAGCGGCCCCGCGGCCCCGTCGCCCCGTCGACCCTCACCTAGCGGCCCCGCGGCCCCGTCGACCCACCCGCGCGCACCTCGTTTAGCGGCCCCGCGGCCCCGCCGCCCCTCACTTAGAGGCCCCGCGGCCCCGTGCGCACCTCGTGTCGCGACCCCGCGGCCCCGTCGACCCACCCCTGGTGGCCCCGCGGCCCCGTGCACGCCCCGCCTAGAGGCCCCACGACCCCTCGACCTGTGCGCACCC